GCGTGCCTGGCTCCTGCGGCGCCGGCCTGCCCGCATCCCCGCGGCACTGGCCAGCAGCGCCCTTTCCCCCACAGCCGGGCCATGCCTGTGCCGTGAGCCCCGGGGGCGGGCCCGGTCTGCACGCCAGCAGCTGTAGCTGGGACGTGCATGCGCTGTGCACCCGTGCCCAATGCCACACACCCGTGCCCAAGGCGCCAGAATACCTCGGGCCGGCCCTGGGCAGGAGGAGGCTTTGTGCACTCTCCCACTCCCAGGCCAATCAAAACTTGAGGGCGGGAGAGCGCAGGAAGCCTCCTCCTGCCTTGCGAGGAGTACATGGTGCTTGGAAGTGCCATGTGCTGCTCTCTGGGTGGTGGCAGAGCAGAGAAAGCTTCATGTGCTCTCCCGCCCCAAGCCCTAATTGGCCTTCGGCGGGGGAGCAGCAGGGCCTCCGCAGACCAGATCCGACCCATGGAGGCCCTTTTGATCTACATGTTTTGTTAGGCTTTGGTCGTAAGTGCGGATGGTCATAAGCGGAGGTGGCCATAAGTCGGGGAGTGGCTGTATAACAAAACAGAAAATACCAGCTAGTGTCAATAATGCCTGTCCAGATGTATAAAATAAATATCTAAACCCAGAAATTATTTGTTGATTTAACTATTCATTCACCAGTCCATTTTGTAACAAGCTCAATTCAGAATTTTATACCACTGAATGTTGACTGTTAAGTTCTCAAGCAGCAATTTTCTTGCTTTCCTTCTCTGTAAATTTCAATTACTCATGAAATATGTTTGTGGATTTGCGTGCGTACAGTGAAATCAACAGCTAATTTCTAAGTTATCTGCAAAAACAACAAACAAAAAACTAAACAAACCCCACCAACAGGTGAGTGACACACTCAACTTTTTACCCAGTGTTTCATTTCACAATCAGATGCCATTCAAAAATAGCAGTCTTCCTTCTCTGCATCATAGTTTAGAGTAAATATGTAATCTAAAATAATCCATTCCCCATGTATGGAAAGTGCTATGACAAGAAGGACCGATGAGTTTCCTTTGTGTAAGGCAGGGGTGTCCAAACTTTTTTCAAAGAGGGCCAGATTTGATGAAGTGAACATGCGTGAGGGCCGACCATTTTGCCTGACATTCTTTGAACCATTAAAATTAAATGCAAATTAACTATTTTATGCAAAGTTTATTGCAAACAGCATACTTTTCATTTAGTCACATGGATGACAAATCTAAACAGGTGTTAAATCACTCTGCCTTTCATATCTGAAGGCCAGATGAAAAAAAAATCCAAGAAGCTGAAATATATGTCAGGAACATTGTAAAGTACATTACATATTATTGGTAATAAAGGTTGTCTGTCAACTTTTAAGTTCAAAAAATATGAACAGGAACATAACACCAAGTATACATGTTGTGTCCAAATATATTTATAACTGATTTAGACCAACTGACATTAACTGAGATTTTACAATGTATTCATCTCAATACATATGGATTCGTTGGGGGCCATAAAAGATAGATATTGCCAAATTACCTGTGGGGCCGTATTAAACCGGAACACGGGCCGCAATTGGCCCGCGGGCCGAACTTTGGACATGCCTGGTGTAAGGGAACTGTTGGCCCTTTACTAAAACTCAGTAGGGTTTTTTCGCTGGCTAGCTCCCTAGTATCTAAGGGAAGGAGAAGGATCAATGAGAATTCAAGACAGGAGACTGAAAGTCTCCAGGAACAATGGGGAGAGGCCATCATCATCTTTTCGCCAACCCATTTTACCAGAAGCTTCAGGGGATAGCCAAGTTAGTCTGTATAGAAAAAAAACAACAAATGGTGTGGTAGCACTTTATAGACTAATAAAAAATGCAGATGATATCATGAGCTTTCGTGGGTGAAACTCTGGTCATCTGAAGAAGCGGGCTGTGCCCACAAAAGCTCATGATACCATCTGCATTTTTTGTTAGTCTATAAAGTGCTACCAGATCATTTGTTCATTTTACCAGGTCAGCCTGATTGATAGGGCATACAATGAGGGAGTTGCAAGTCCAAAGGGATCCCATTCTCTGTGTGAGCTGGAGTTCTGGGTCAGACAGAGTGGGGCAAAGATGGGGGAACAGCAGGAGTTTAAGCTGAGGAGCCCAGATGTGCCAACCAGAGAAGCAACTCAGGGAGCAGAGCCACTTAAAAAAAACAAAAATCAGAGAAGCAGCCAAGGAAGCAGGTCAGTGCTGGGGCAGACCTACAGAAGCAGCCCCAACAGTAAACCTGTGCTAGGAGGAGAACTGCAGCAACTAGAGACAAAAGGGCCAGTGAAGCAGCTGAGGGGTCGGAGACAGAGCAGCAGCAGTGCTGAAGCAGAGTGTAGCCAGACACAAACCCCATCTTGTTTTTCCACGAACCCCATCTTGTTTTTCCCCCCCCAGAGAGCAAGAGAAAGGCAGTCAGCCTTTGATGCCCTGGGAACGCAGGTGTGATGCCTGTCCCTGACTCTACCATAAACAGAAACCAGACAGTAAATGGGCTAGCTGACGACTGGGAGGCCTCCCGTCGCCGTGATGGCTAGTATCAGTAATTGACACGCCTGCACTGTCTCAGGAGAGGAATCTTCGCCCATCACATACCAGAGGTGCCCATTGTCTGCATCTTCCCAGGTGTGAATTATGCTTTGCACCCTTTGTGGGAAACTTGGCATTCAAAGCCATTTTTCCTAATTGGCCACTTGAGACCAGGAAGAAGCCCATGTGACCCAAAGGGTATAAAGAGGGTTTAGTTGCCCACCCCATTTGAGCTCCAATCACCTACACCTGCTGGCAGGTATTGATTGTCTCCCGAGGTCCGTGGGACGCCCAACCTCGCCCTACTTCTTCCCGAGGGATTGAGAGAAAGACGCTGGCCACGCCAAGTCTGGAACGCAGGGGTGAGAATTGTACCTGCAATGTGTTTTCTTTATGTGTACACTTTAATTGTCTCTCTGTTATAAGTTTAGTTACTTTATTATAGTTTCTTAAGGCAAACTGCTTCATTTCTATTGTAAACTGCCTTTGGTAAGGTGATTTAGCTATAAACTTTGGGAATAAGTGGGATGCCCTCATTCACTTATAAAATATATATATATTGAACCAAGTTTCTTTTATTTTATTTTCTCTTTCAGTCTCCTATAATAAGCCAGTGAGTGTCAAGCTTCTGACTTGAACCCGTGCTGCTGTACCTGAACCGAACACAAACAAAAGAACTTCAGCCGGTCAAAGGGACAGGTATAGGGAGAGCTTGGGCGTTGTGGATTATGTAACTCCCAGGTGGCAGATCCATTGGGGCACCTCTCAGCCTCCCCAGGCTGCCCGCTGCGAAGGAATCTTGGATTCTAGCAGCTAAAATCTGAGGTGTTATAAGCTCTCCCTATAAACTTATTGGGGCGCCCGTCAACCTCCTCCAGGTTGCCCACTGAAGTCTCGGGTATATAGCGCGCGTGAAGTCTCGGGTGTATAGCGCACACACACGCCGGGGCATCTGAGAGCCTGTTGGCTGCCCTCTGCAATGGGACCCCAGTTCTAGCAGTAAAGTCACAGACGTTAAACTATTTTTTCAGGGCGCCCCTCCAGTCTCCTAGGCTGCCCGCTGCAACGAGACTCTGTGTCTCAGCAGTTGAAGACTTGGGTGTAACACACACGCACACACTGCCCTGACCGTCGGCTGACAGAATTGGCGTAGTCGGCAGGATTTGTGATATCGGTTCAAAATACAGCAGCATGAAGCCTGTCACTGATTTTAGCAAGGTAGAAAAGAGTTTCACCCAGGAAGGTTGGGCTGACCCTAAATGGGATAAAGAAATGTTAGAGGAGGAGTGGGGAAACCCCGAGGAACTGTGATTGCAGTTCTGTAATTGGAGAACTGCTTGTAAAATGAAAAGGGGAAAGGAGCATGTATTAGGCTATTTAAAGGTGCCCTGCAGACAGCATGTAAAAGCCATTTAAAATTGGAAATGGAGCTTGAAAGGGTACAGAAGGAAAGGGATGAGCTAGAGCGGCGCTGCCAGAACCTAGACACCCGGGCACGCTTGCGAAGGAATCTTGGATTCTAGCAGCTAAAATCTGAGGTGTTATAAGCTCTCCCTATAAACTTATTGGGGCGCCCGTCAACCTCCTCCAGGTTGCCCATTGCAAGGGACCCCGGTCTCAGCAGTTGAAGTCTCGGGTGTATAGCTCACACACACACCAGAGCGTCTGAGAGCCTGTTGGCTTCCCTCTGCGACGGGACCCCGGTCCTAGCAGTAAAGTCACAGACGTTAAACTATTTTTTCGGGGCGCCCTCCAGCCTCCTAGGCTGCCCACTGCAACGAGACTTTGCGTTTCAGCAGTTGAAGACTTGGGTGTAACACACACGCACACACTGCCCTGACCATTTCGGCTGACACAGAGTAAAGCTGGAGCTGGAGCAGTCCAGAGCCAGGTGCAGTGAGCAGCTGTAGAGAACAAGGAGGATTCTGAGTAGTGAGAATAGCACAGGGGGATATCCCCAGCCAACATTCCCTACAAAGTAGTAGACTGTTAAGTGGCTTCATATGATTCATAACTCTGATGGACAGAGGGGGGGCTGATGGTGGGAAGAAGGGCCCAGTAAACTAGAGCCTGAAGGTGTGTGGCTGCTGCCAGAGTAGGTGTCAACCCCACAGCATCCCTTCAGCACAGTCAGGGCCTGAGAGAGAGGCCTAGGATGCATGAGGAACAGGCTGTGAACTACCCTGACATTCCAAAGATTGTTGTTTGTAATGTAACTTGCCATAAAGCAGGGTTATGTGTTTTTATAGGCACCAGTAATACCATTTCTCATCTTGATTTCTGGCCCAAATCTCATGCAGAATCAAAGATCTGCTTGTGACCAACAGTCCACCAAAAATAAAGAACATGGTTTTTCCTCAGGATAAGCAGAATCTCCATTTTTCTATGATGATTTTTATTCAGAAATCTTGTAAATGGTGAAGTTCTGAAGCAGCAGCTGGCTGCTTTACTCAGACTCCACTGACCAGACGGTTTCTGCTGCAAGCTCTTCAACTTGAATCCAAAATCATCCCTAACAGTTGAGGGTCAAATGATTGGAAACACATGTCTCAGATTCTCATGTGTCCTTAAAAGTCACATAGTCATTTCAAATTCTTCCAAACGTGGGCAAAAGCAGAGCAAAGACAAAAACTGGATAGTTGCACTGACATGGAGCTTCAACGTATGATTAAAAAAGACAAAACAGTGGGAGCTTCAGGGGACAGCTGAGTTAGTCTGTTACAGAAAAAAACAACAAATAGTCTGGTCACACTTTATAGACTAACAAAACATGTAGATAGTATCATGAGCTTTTGTGGGTGTGACAGACCCCATCCCATGCTTTATGAAATGGACTCATGGACATGAATATACATAATTCAAAGGTGGCTTGAGCAAATTATTTCATGTAACCTATCGATCTTCATGTCATGATCTGCTGGTTTGGTTTATCTTACTCTGTTGTATGTACCATTTGTGTGTGGAAAATTAGACACATGGAGTCGGGAATACTTTGTGTGTTTCAAACATGTGAATGAGAGACATGCAGGGTGTTACCCTCACTTGTTAAACTATCTCTTTTGTCCTTCAGTCTGAGCAGTGGTTGGTAGGGAGGGGCCTCAATTCTTTAACAAAAAGAATAGGAGAGGAGAGGCCTTGGTCTTTTGGCTGGGCTGCACCTGAAGGAAGGGGCCGGGGACCCCAGGGCATGGAAGACAGCCCTGGTTTAGAGTTGCAGCTGGAAAAGAGGTTTTAGGGTGATTTTAACTTTGCACTGAGGTTTCAGTGGAGAATTAGCCAAGCGGTTTTATTTCTTTTCATTTGTAACCTACTTTGCTCTGCCTACTTCCACTTATTACTTCTTAAATCCTATTGCTTCAACATAATAAAACCATTTTTATTTTCTATCAAACCCAGTGTAAGAAATTGTTACCTGGGCAACCAGTGTGCACATTCCTCCTTTCATTGCTAAAGGGGGCTTACCTAATTCTTTGGTGTTTGATCCTATCTGGGGAGTGCTCTCTCAGGAGGCTGGGCCCTAAACTGCACTCTCCTTGGACCTGAAGTGGTTCAGTGTCTGTACTGCTTCTCGGTGGGGGCAGGGACCTCAGCTCGGGGTCTTGGCTGGGGGAGACTAGCGGAGCTGGCCCAGCAGGACCGGGCAGTGAGGAGCCCCAGAGAGCAGGAAGGCTAGTGGAAGTGGCCGTGTCAGCACCCCAGGAGGCACCCCCAAGGGGTCATCTGTGACCGCACCCCATCTCATTGGGCACAGCCCACTTCCTCAGATGGTCATCTGAAGAAGTGGGCTGTGCCCATGAAATCTCATGATACCATCTACATGTTTTGTTAGTCTATAAAGTGCTACCAGGCCATTTGTTGTTTTTTAAAACAGTGGGAGAATGTTATAAAGAAACTCATGACTATATCGCTTTATCTTTCTAAAAATGGTTTTCCAAAGATCATCTGACATATACTTCACAGCAAAGAATGGGAACTTCTTGGGTTTGATGAGGTTCTAGGAATGTATGATGAAAAGGCATTTGCAACACATGTTTTCCAGGAAGGTGACTGATCACTGCTGTAGAAAAAGAATCCAGAATGAAATAACTGAATTGTTGGCAAAGACAGTGTCACAAGACATTATTAAAAAATTAAGGAGTGCCAAATATAACTCTGTGATAGTGGACTCAGTTCAGATGTGAGCCATTCTGAAAAGATGTCCTTCATTGTTAGGTCCCTCAACACTTAGGCGAGCCAAGTGACAATTCAGGAGCACTTTATTGGTTTTAAAACAGTGGGGCTACATCTACATTGGCAAGATTTTGTGCAAATACTTTTAACGCAAGAGTTTTTGTGTTAAAGTATTTGCGCAAGAGAGCGTCTACACTGGCATGTGCTTTTGCACAAAAGCATCCGTGCCAGTGTAGACGCTCTCTTGTGCAAGAAAGCTCTGATGGCCATTTTAGTCATCGGGCTTTCTTGCGCAAGAAATTTATGTTGCCTGTCTACACTGGCTTCTTGTGCAAGAACAGTTGCGCAAGAGGGCTTTTTCCTGAGTGGGAGTATCATAGTTCTTGCGCAAGAAGCACTGATTTCACACATTAGAACATCAGTGTTCTTGCGCAAGAATCCCCCACCAGTGTAGAAAAGTAGCAGTTGCTTTTGTGCAAAATCATGCCAATGTAGACAGAGACTGGATGTATCCACGGAGGAAGGACTAATGATATTACATTCCTTCAGAGTAGTATGACAAATTTCCAAGACTGCCAGGACCAGGTTTATGGCAGTGGTGCAAACTTGAAGGGGAAAAACAATGGTGTTCAGGTAAGTATCTTTATCAAAACCCAAGAACATTTGTCGTTCCATGTGGATGCCACTCACTCAGTCTTGTATTGGGAAATACTGCAACCTCTTCAGAAGAGTTCATATCCATCTTCAGCATTCCGCAAAGGATCTCCAGTCTGTTCTCTTCCTCTATTCATCACTGGACGATTCTCACAGATTACGTCAATGTCATTGTGAAGCCAATATGTGAAACATGTTAAGAGTGTAGAATTGACAGTATTAAAGCTGTTTGATACCTAACAGCTGAAGTCTACAAATGTCCATATTTCACTGGCTGAATCGGAGCAAGGAGATGCTGGTGTCAGTCATGACACGTTTAGCCTGGCATGTCATCTAACTGAATTCAAATTTCTTGTCTCTATTGCAGTGTGTCATGATACCCTTTTCCAAGTCAATGTGATGAGCAAAAACATGCAAAGCAAGAAAAACACTCAAGTTGTTGCAGCCACAAACTTGATAAATGTCTGTCTTAATTTTATTGTAAAATACAAGGAAGTCAACTATGAAGGGGCCCTGACAACAGCAAAGATAATAGATGAAAATCTTGATGTGGATATAATGTACTTTAAGCCATCCCCATGTGTCAGTCATAAAAAGCATCAATTCAGGTCTGATTGTGGATGAAAGAGTTAACAATCCAGAAGACAAGTTAAAAATATAATTTTTCAACCAGCTCTTAGACTCTGTACAAGCATCTCTGAAAAACAGGTTGAGTAAACGAATCACCATGTGATCTTTTGGGGCTTTCTATAGAATATGACCAGACTCCCTGACAAAAAAACTTTCATGAAGCACTGTAAAGACCTTCACTGTGTATTGACACACAGAAGGAGTCTGACATTAATGGTATCTACATTTGTGAAGAACTTAGCTATCTCAAAAGTCTGCTTCCAGTGGATTGTAGCATTCCTTAAGAAGTTCTAAAATTTACAACTTCCCAAACACATGAATAGCACTCAGAATAATCTTAACCCTGCCCAAATCTGTGGCAAGGAGTGAATAGAGCTTCTCAAAGTTGAAGCTCATAAAAATATATTTGTGATTGACCATAGGACTTGGCAGGCTATCTTCTCTGTCTATTCTGCCTATCAAGAATGCTGTAGCTCAAAATATAGACCTCTCACAAGCAATAGCCGAATTTGCAACAACAAAAGCATGCAGTGTTGCCTTCTGAATCTTAGAATATACATGAACAAAATGTTTTGTAGTTTAATGTTTATTATTTAGTTTGTTACTTAGCAATAATGTTATTTTTATGACTTACATAGTTTATTATTTGAATACAATTGAATCAAATCATGTAATTTCCTCTTTTGTATTTTTTATACATTATAAAAACTTTTGAGTTTACAGCTTTATTTCTGAAATTTACATTAACACTATGAGGGTATGTCTACACTACCACCCTAGTTCGAACTAGGGTGGTAGTGTAGACATAGCCTAATATACTTAAACTCAAAGGCTGTGTCTAGACTGGCAAGTTTGTCCACAAAATCATCTGCTTTTGCGGAAAAGCATCCTGCCAATCTAGACGTGCTTTTCCGAAAATGCTTTTAACAGAAAAGTTTTCCGTTAAAAGCATTTTCGGAAAAGCACGTCTAGATTGGCAGGATGCTTTTCCGCAAAAGCAGATGATTTTGTGGACAAACTTGCCAGTCTAGACACAGCCTTTGAGTTTAAGTATATTAGGCTATGTCTACACTACCACCCTAGTTCGAACTCGGGTGGTTAATGTAGGCAACCGAAGTTGCAAATGAAGCCCGGGATATTTAAATCCCGGGCTTCATTTGCAACTTCGGTTGCCTACATTAACCACCCGAGTTCGAACTAGGGTGGTAGTGTAGACATAGCCTAATATACT